TATATATATATATATATATATATATATATATATATATATATGTGAAATCTTATCCATGACTTGATCTGCTAAATACTTGAAATGTGTACGGATAACTATAAAATTGTTAGGGACATGACTATTACCTCTTGCTGCATGCCGTTGATTTATTTAAACTATCATGCTTATCAGAACACTTTATTATATTATTTGACCCTAGTAAGTGTCAAGTCGACCTCTCGTCTCTACTTCTTCGAGATTAGACGGGATACTTATTGGGTACGTATTGTTTATGTACTCATACTACACTTCTGTACTTAATTGTACAGGATCTGAGACAGGTGTATCTGGCTATCGGTCTGGTGCACATTCCTGAGCGGACTCGAGACTTCTACGGTGAGCTGCTTCCCTTCCATGCCGTTCAGCAGCCTGAAGAAGTCTTTCTTGTGTATTTTGCTGTCTATTCTGTTTCGGACAGTAGGATAGTTTTTATTATTTTGTACATTCTACTAGTTGCCAATTACTTGTGACACCAGGTCTTGGCACACACGTTAGTAGACTACCATTTTGGGGTTGTATAACTATTTTGGCTTATTGTTGTTCATTTATGATTTGACTTGAATTTTTATGAATTTCTATACTTACTTTGGGTAAAGGAATAAAATTGGGAACTAAATTTCATTTTCCGCGTTGGCTTGCCCGATAATGGTGTGGGGCGCCATCACGATCTATTTTCGGAAATGGGTCGTGACATGTTCTTTGTTAATTAAGGTTATCTCTAGTCTAAACTTAGACAGAGAAGTCGAGTTCAATTCCTAAAACTGCCATAGTGAATTTTCTGTAACGTGTATCAGACATCTTCGCTAGAAGACAAGAAGCAAAGATAAAGGATGATGCAACTATGGTATATATCTACAAGATACTAATGAACTCTCTCTACGGTCGATCATGAATCGAACCAGATCGAAACATTCAGCTGTCGACGGACAAAGCCGGAACGTCGACCGCAAACAAAGGATGGCCAAGAGGGAAGGCTCATACTACCGCAGCGGGAGGTCGTCTCCCAACATATTCCCCCTATAGTCGATCTGCCAAAGATTGAGGCATATATTTTGGAGATGGTCACGTCAACGGCGGCAAGTGGATCATTCATGCACAAACTTAATCCAAATTAATCAGTTTTGAGGTACATTGAATAGCTAAACTAAAAAAAGAAAAGGTTCCTTCACCCCTATATAAGCAAGCATGTCCAAGTATACTGACTTCATCTTGTTGGACGGGACTCCATTTCCCCCACCCAAGTCCTTATGGTATCAATGTATTACTTATTTTACCTTTAGTTTGTACCAAAAATGATATGAATTTTTTTTGGTTTTTCATTCGGTATTCGATATCCGCATTGGAGCTCGATTATGTTTAGATTCGGACCGCATAGGGTCCCATTTTCGGGGAAAGCGACCTCTGGTTATGGTTAAGAGAAGAGCAGTCTCATCGAATTTTACTGTATATTTGAGTCTTATCTGATTGGTTAATAAACACGTGTACTTCTCTTTCTTCCTCTGTTACTTCAAGCTAGTATCATCTTGGGTGAGTTTCTCAATTATTATTATTTTGGTACAATGGGTTTCTAAATTCTGCTGCGCCTGCTTTTCTCGTATTTTTCTCTCTTTAGAATTGTTTCATGAATTTGTCTCTTTCTGATTTTACATTCTGGTTGCTACTAATCTTCATGCTTCATAGCGAGAAATCTTGTATCTCTCTCTCTCTCTCTATCTATCTCTCTCTCTCTCTCTAAATTTGTTTGTTTTGCAGATATTTTGGGGTTTCTTTTCAAAGTTTTTCCATTTGATTCCAGTTTTTCTCTACTCTTTGTTATATTTCTGAGTTCTGGTGAATATTTTCCCGTAGTATATTATATTGTTGTTTGGATGATTTTTCCTGCTGGGTTTTGTACATCCATATCATTAGTACCATTGTATCTGAGTTGAACATGCACATATAAAAGTAGATAAAAATTGCATATTGAGGAGATTATTGGAAGTGGAATTGGTACTCAAAAATAAAACCAGAATACCAAATTGTCATCGATAACTCTCTATTCAAAATGTGGGAATTTAGTTTTGTTATGCAATGTGTTTGATATAATTCTCGAGAGAGAAAGAGAGAACCACCAACACTTATCAAAGAAAATATAAAAGGTCAGTTCCCTTAATTAAGTATCTATGATTCAAAATATAAATTCTCTGTTAGCCAAATTTTCAGCTTATGAAGCTTGATCACCATTTGAATTCTTCGGTTACAGCCTTGGATGCCTCTAATTATGATATTGTGAAAGTATCAGCTGGTAGAACATTACACATGGATCAAACAGATTTTATTCTTCCCACTTATCATTCAGAATTCGCCATGGTAAGAAAAATTCCAACTATTGTTTAACAATGTAGGAATACTGGCAAAGTGGAGTACTCAGTGTTCTTTCTCTTCTTCTAGGAATGGCAGAAAAACAAGTCAATGAATTTGCATGACATAAAGAACCACTCTTCCTGATATGGAAAATAATCAAGTCTCATAAATTTTGGCAGCACGATCAGGAACTCAAAATGAGCGAGAAATACTTAATACCTCTATTCTCTAAGGGGTTGTTTAGTTCGAGAATTTGTTATGCAGGATAATAATGCAGGGATTAGTTCTATTTGGATGTTTGATGTTTAAGTAAAATTCTGGATTCAGCATTATTAGGACCAGTTGATAAAATCTAGGTCGTTAATCATCTTAATCGTAGCCGTACACTAGAGATGTCATCTCAACCACTGATCTCCTTCAAATTCATGGCTCATATGTTTCTTATTTAAATAGATTCAAATGCTCATTTCCCAAACAAATTTGCAGATCATTACTGAACCAGTGGGAAAACCCAAGGAGAGCACACCACAGTCCACAGTGATGAAGAAACCAAAGTTAATGGAGACAGTCGCCAAAGATGATGGAACCCTAGACCGAATCAACAAGTTGCCGGAGTCACTCCTCGCTCGAATTCTCTCTCTTTTGCCGTCGACGAAGAATGCTGTCAGGACATGCCTTGTCTCAAAACGGTGGCAGTACCTCTGGACTTCTATTGATAATCTCACTTTACTTTGTGAATCTCCATCAGAAGCAGAAAAATTCGTACCCTTCGTAGACTATGCATTTGCTCAACGTACTAATTCGAAAATAAGAAAATTTTATCTCGACTGCTGGGACATGCCTAGTTACAGCTTGCATATCGATCAGTGGCTTACATATGTTATAAAAAGTAAAGTGGAACATGTTGTATTGAACTCAACCTTTTTTAAGGTGTACATATTGCCTCAATCATTTTACACTTGCTCGTCATTGGTCACATTAGGTTTACGTAATTGTGCCTTTGATAAGGGAGTTGTTATATCGTGGAAATCTCTGAAGACAGTGAAGTTCATGACAGTGGAGTTAGACGATGAAGCGATTGTCAAGTTATTAACAGGTTGTCCTTCTTTGGAAACTATGGAACTGACTTTTTTCCATGGTTTTCATCATCTGGAAATTAAAAATACAAATTTGAAGACACTGAAGTTGCACAACTTTTGGCTGCTGTATGGAGGTGATCATTCGTTGCAAATTGTTGCTCCATATCTTCAGCATTTGGTGATTCCAGGAAACCTTGATGATTTTAAGTGTAGGCTAGTAAACGTATCTTCCTTGGTCAGTGCTGAGCTTACTTTTGATATCAGATGTGAGATCCAGGATAACAGTTGTCGTGATTACCATCGGGTTTTTTGGACCCTTGTTCAAGATTATCTTCAAAAATTGAGACATGTAAATGAGCTATCAATTGGGACTTGGTTTGCAGAGGTTTGGTATTGAATCAAAATTTCTTTATAGTTGCTCTATTTGATTTTTAGCAAACAGTATGCAGTATAGTGTAATTGAAAGCTTTTGTACACATGAATTTTTTTGTGTTTCACCTTTTTGTGAATTTTATGCAAGTTTTCTGTCAACTTTTAAATTAGGTATTTCTATTGTCGTACTGGCAAAGATAATTTTGGAAATTAGCATTTTTGATATTGATGTCACTTAAAGGTTTAGATATGTACTTTTGTCATAGAGCCGTAAAAACTTTATCTGTGTGATGTATATATATTTTTTAATTTCTATTATTCTGTTCTTGACTAGTTTCCTTGGGGTTACTGCACCAGGTTCTGTTCATGATGCAGCTTGATGGAGCGCAGCTTCCTGAATTGAAATGCAAATGTCTAACACTGAAGTTGCACATAACAAAGTATAATTTGTATGGAGTAGCTAGCCTTTTGCGGGCCTCGCCTCATCTGGAGACGCTCAACATACACATGGACGTTGAGGTACTTCCCACATCTTTTGCTCTTCTTCGTACATTCATTCATATTTTGATGATTTATCACGCCCTCTTTCCTCTCCATACTGAGTTTTCTAGAGGAGAATGCAAATACATCTTTCATTTGTTTGTTTGGTTTACCTTCTCAACGAGTCTTTTAGATAGGAATTTGCTATTAATTATTTGTGAAGAACCAAATCCGTGGGTTTTGACATTGTCAGAGGCGGAGCTAGCCTATTAGGTCCGAGTTCGGCTGAACCCAGTTACTTTTGCTAAAACGCAGTATTTGTACTGGAAATTCATTAAATATATATATAAATATTTAATTGCGAACCCAATAATTAAGATGAATTATGAGATCTGTGACAAATTGAGAACCCATAAACTTGAAATCATGGTTCCGTCTCTGGAAATTGTCCAATTGTGGGACAGATGTATCTTAAATTTTAACCTGTATTTGATCTAGATTATATTGTCTATATACAGGTTAATTTTTTGCAATGCCGCTATGAGTCAAGTAATTTGCACCAAGGGGATAATATCGATCTGGAGAGTTGGATTTCAAACTCTGTATTTCCCAGTCTCAAGAGTGTTAATATTATCTGCCCTACATTCATTGGGATGTGTCGGACGGGGAGGCATGATAGGCTTTTTCAACTTTCAAAATTTCTGCTAAAAAATGCAAAGGTTCTGGAGAAGTTCGTTATCATGGCAAAGAGAACACGTTGCGGCTTGTGTTCAAGGAATTGTGTATCCGCATATTCATCAGGATTGGCTGCGAAATTGTTATGTTGCCAAAGACACTCCACCAAGTTTATGATGAGTTTCCATGAGTCACGATTTTGCATGAGCAGAATGCAAGTGGTTTTGTTTCTCGGCACATAAGAAATTGCGCACAATAGTTTACCTTTTGATTTTTGTGCTGGTGAACTTAATGAGTTTTTAACCAAGTAAAATGTTCTTTTTGTGGTCTTACCCTTATGGCACGTATTATGGATGCTTGGTGTCTGATGAAGTAGTTACTTGTTGCACTCTATATGTTGTACCTTTGGTTTAAATAGTGTTTTGCAACCCTTGTCAAATAGCCTCAAAAGTTTTATGATCGGAGATGATTCCTTTGTTTTGGCTTTTTTCTTGAAGGAAGGTATTGTCTTTTTTACCTCGGTTAATTCGTAGCAGTTTTGATTTACAATGTTCAGTTAGATCTTTCTGTTTGATCTTCCTGAAATCTTCACCTATCCAGCAGATTTGAGTTGGCTAGTAACAGCTTCTGGGGATTGTAAAAGTTTGTGGAACACAGCTTTCTTGATAAATACCGAGCAAAAGAGTATAGCAGGCGCCTTTTAGTTTCATTACCCATATATTGTATGAGATTAATCATAGTGAAGATAACTAAGTTTATGTTTGAGATTGTTCCTTCTATTTGGTTATTAGAGCCTAGGAGGTGACTTTGTGAGACTTCTAGATCCTACTTTTTCACATGAATACTCTACTGATTCTGGACCCTTCTCTCTTGGAGATACGCTATATTTCTACATAAATACATGAGTTTTCCTCATAATCAACTTTCTCCAAGTAGTCAACATTATTGTCTCTCCTGACCTGTTTTTGTTCAGAATTGTCATCCTTTCAGCTTCAGTTTGATTGTCTTCATTCTCAGATTCATATTTCCATCATTTTCTTATTCTTTATCCTCTTTACTCCTTGTTTTCCTCATTTTCTTGGTCTGCTTCATCTTTCCTGCAACCTTGTTTTATCTGTGCATTTTCCTCAGCCATTGATATTGAACCAGCTATCTGTTTCTTGAAGCTCAGTGCAATCTTTATTCCCTTCTGGTTAGTCCCTTTTGGTGTAGATGCGACTACCAACACATCATTACAAGTTAGGGGTATTTACCCTTTCTCTCATCCCAACTATTCTGTGTTTAATCTTCTTATTTGATGCTGAACCTTCTCTTTATGTTGGTTTTTACTTCTGTCTCTTTATTTTGCTTAAATTTTCATATGAGTTTCTTGTTGTTCCTTGTTTCGTATCTTTGACCATTTCATTCTGATATTGTTGGGAATACTCTTGTTCTTTTCTTGATTGGCTTCTTTTGATTCAGTAGAAGGAAGTTCTATTAGAGTTTGTTATGGCCAATCTCATATATTTAGACGGAAGTTCAAGAATCCGACAATTGAAATCCCAACAACAGAAGCATTTTTTTTTGTACTGATCATTTTATTAATCACCAAGTAAGATATACAAAACTGTTCGGATAACTAATTGTGATAATACTGATGTGGGCTAGTAGTGTGGGCTAGTTTTGTTAGTTATTAGCTTGGGTTATATTAGTTTGGGTTATATTCTGTAACTGGGCCTGGTCCAATTTGTATTTATGTTTTTCCATTTTAGTTAAGACAGAAGGGGGGTTATTTGTACAGAAAAGACAGAGTTCTTCTTCTAGAATATTCATTCTCTGAAACTCTCTCTCGTTGATAACTGTAAATTTCAGCCATTGATGATCAAATTCAAGCTTGAGTTTGTATTTATAACATGGTATCAGAGCGGGAAGCATTAATTCTGGCCTTTCAATCCCTTTTCCGATGCTAAGCTCGTAGCCATTCATTCAAATCTTCTTAATTTCGCACCTAAGATCGTTTTTGGTTTTTACTTCAAATTCGTTCTTCCGTCTCTCGATTTGAGGTTCGAACGTCCTGGTTTCTTCATAAATTGTGAGATTCTTCGTCAAATTGTGAGAATCTCTGCGTCGATTGGAATTGTTCGGATATTTAGGGTTTTGATTGTTGATTTCCATCTGGCTGAGTTCATCTGGTGTGTTAGGGTTTCTCATTGGAGCTCATTTTCGAAGATTAGGGCTCCTCTATTGCTGCTAGAAGGCCGTCTCCTTCCGGTCGCGAAGGTGTTGGTAACATCATCTCTTTCATCGTCTGTTTTTTTTAATTGTTGCTGTTCTATTTGATATTGTGTGGGATTGACCTTTCATTCTCTATGATGATTACTCCTCCTCCCTGCGATGCTACTCCTACTGTTGATAGAGGAAACTCTTCTTCCTCTTGTCCTATTGCTTTTCATCCTGATGACTATACCACCCGTGCCATCCTCTTTATGTACATCCGTCTGATGTTTTAGGAGCCTCTCTAGTTTCCACTCCTTTTGATGGCACTAGCTATGGAAGCTAGCGTCGAAATATTCTGGTGGCTCTGTCTGTACACAATAAATTGGATTTTATAAATGGCACTACTGAAAAACCACCTGTTGGTTCCCCTCTAGTCAGGCAATGGCAACGTTGTAATGATTTAGTTGTGTCTTGGCTGAACAATTCTCTCAACAAGGAGATTTCTCGTAGTGTTGAGTATTCAGAACTAGCCAAAGACATTTGGCATGAATTAGAGGAGAGATATGGTATGGCTGATGGTGCTAGAATTTTTGAACTTAAGAAGGAGTTATCTCACATTTCTCAGGGTCCTTTGGACATTGCCTCCTATTTCAACAAAATAAAATAACTTTGGGATGAAATAGCTTCAATTTCTGTTAATCACCTCTCTGTATGCACATGTGGGGGAAATAAAAAGGCTGAGGAAGAGCAGAAGGTATACCAATTCATAATGGGACTCAATGATACTTACCTCCAAGTCAGAAGCAATATCTTGATGATAAAGCCCCTTCCTTCTATGAGTACAGTTTATGGGATTCTACTAAGTGATGAGAAACAAAGGCAAGTATCCTCCATTTCTCAGTTTCCTTCAAACTCAAACTCTGCTTCTTTTAATGCTGGAGTGTCCAAACAATCCTTCCCCTCTAAGGTGAATTTCAATCCTCAAAGACCAGGCAATCAAAGGTCCTCTCTCATTTGCAAATACTGTAAGAAACCAAGGCATTCTATTGAAAAGTGCTACAAGCTGCTTGGTTTTCCTCAGAATTTCAAGTTCACTAATAATACACCTAGGAGAACTGCAACACATGTTGAGGTTCAAACTCCTGTTAACTCTGATGAGACTGGAAATGCTGGTGGTCCTGTCATGCATGCTGAATCTGAGCAGCTTTGCACTTTGCCTGGATTGACTAAGGATCAATACTCCCAGTTGATCAGTCTGCTTCAACAGTCTCACATTTCTGCTTCTTCTGCTACTCCAAATTTTTTGGCTTCTGCTAATTTTGCTGGTAAGTTGTTGCCTGAGAATGGTTTGTTCAGAACTTGTTTACTTACTAAAATAGAGAATACTATTTGGATCATAGATTCTGGAGCATCTGATCATATGACCTTTGATAAGTCCTTCTCTTTGATATTCAGACTCTACCCATTCCTTACTTAGTTTCTCTTCCTAATGGTTATAAAGTTAGAGTTACCAATATTGGTTCATTAACTTTGTCCCCTGATCTTACTCTTCATAATGTTCTTTATGTCCCTAGCTTTCAACACAATCTCATTTCTGTTTATAAGTTGGTTGAAAAGCCAGGTGATATAGTTCAATTTATCAATACTGGCTGTACTCTACAGGGCCCTTCACTGAAGAAGCCAGTGGTGCTTGGTAGACCAGACAATGGGCTTTACAAGCTGTTTCAACTTCCTGCAAATTCTGGCCCTTTGTGTTGTCATGCTACTTTACCCAATGTTTTTCCTTATTCTATTCCTTGTAATCCTTCATCTACTGAATTTCCTAGTGCACCTAGTAGTACTGCAAGCTTGTCTATTGATCATACTAATGGAGCCACTGTTGCACATGTTAATAAAGTGAATAAAGAGGATGTCATTTGGCATTACAGACTTGGGCATCTGTCTTTTTCCAAAATGAAATCTATTTTTGCATGCAGTCCACATTTGTCTTCTAAACAATCTTTTTCTTGTCCTATTTGCCCTTTAGCCAAACAAACTAGATTAACATTTCCTAATAGTTCAATACAATCAACTGCTCCTTTTCAATTAATACATATAGATACTTGGGGACCCTACCATGCACCCACATATACTGGATCCAGATATTTTTTGACCATAGTTGATGACTATACTAGAGCTACTTGGACCCACATCCTAGGGTCCAAAAGCAATGCTTTTGATATGTTGAAAGCCTTCATTGCCATGGTAGAAACCCATTTTCACACCAAGGTGCAAATTGTAAGAAGTGATAATGCTTTGGAGTTGGGGTCTAGTCTTTCTGGTTCTCAATACTTCTCTGATAAAGGAATTGTGCATCAAACCTCTTGTCCCCATACTCCTCAACAAAATGGGATCGTGGAGAGGAAGCATAGACACTTGCTTGATACTGCTAGGGCTTTACTTTTTCAGTCCCATCTTCCCATTAGATTCTGGGGTGATTGTATCTTGACAGCTACCTATTTGATCAACAGGTTTCCTTCTCCCCTTCTGTCTCACAAGAGTCCTTTTGAACTTCTTTATGGTAAGCCTCCTTCTTACTCACATCTTAGAGCTTTTGGATGTCTTTGTTATTCTACTGTGGCTAAGCCTCATAGGGATAAATTCCAAGGCTTGCACCCAAGGAATGAGTATGAACAGGGTGAGATGCAGAAGGTAAATCATCAACACAAGCAGAGAAAGGGAAAGGACACATACTAGAAGAGACAGAAGAAGATTGGAGAAAAGGAAAAATGTGTTCATGAAATACAACATCCCTAGAAACAAAACAAGAATGATACTCCAAATTGTACAACTTGTAGCCTTTCTTGGCAAAAGGATATCCCACAAGCACACATGGTACAGCTAAACTTTTGGCTGATTTTGGCTTGACTGACATCTCTTCTATTCCTGTTTATTGTGATAACCAGGCTGCTATTCACATTGCCAAGAACCCTTTGTTCCATGAACGGACCAAGCATATTGAGCTGGATTGTCATTTTGTTCGCACCAAGTTGGCTGATGGTTTGGTTACTCTGCTCCATTCTTCCAGTTCCACTCAAATGGCTGATGTCTTCACCAAAAGTCTGCCCGGTGCTGCCCATCATTCCCATCTGTCCAAGTTGGGTGTTTTATCACACTCCAACTTGAAGGGGGTGTTCGGATAACTAATTGTGATAATACTGATGTGGGCTAGTAGTGTGGGCTAGTTTTGTTAGTTATTAGCTTGGGTTATATTAGTTTGGGTTATATTCTGTAACTGTGCCTGGCCCAATTTGTATTTATGCTTTTCCATTTTAGTTAAG